CTTAAGATCTCATTGTAGACGCCGCTTAAGGTGCTGGTGAGGAAAGCGATACAGGAGCACAAGGATTGGAGGTGTCGGTAAAGGATTGTATAAGGAGTGGGATTGCCAGGGATATATACTGTAACTATTTGATCGGCTTCATTGTAAGCCGCGGAATAGAATCGGAACATTTGATCCCATTCCTCGGGGGAAGGACCAATGGGAGATGAAGCCGGGGGAGGGGTTGGGAGTTGATCTAAGGAAGCGGGTGGAATTGGTTGTTCGAGAGAGTCAGAGGGAGGGAATCGCTCAGATATGGGAGGAGAATATTGCAGGATATCGAGGAGTAATGGGTCAGGGACGGAAGGGATGGATAGATCTAACGGAACATTATCGTCGGGAGGAACAGAGGAGTAAGAAATTTCAATGTCTACATTATTTAATGGTACTGACGCTAAGTCGGGTTCGAATTGACGGCCGGGCCCCGCGGATTCCTGAGAACGGTTGCGACCCCGTGAACGGGCGACTCTCGTGGAACCTCTAACGCGCACTATAATGGGAGTTATATTTTTTGTGTGAACCCAAGAGAAAAAAAAACAGGAAACAGAAGACAAGAAAATTTGAAACTTACTGATAGGTGAACGGTGAATGGTTTGAGGTGTTGGTGAGCTGGGTCTCCTATGCGGCCGACCAAAGGCAGAGGGTAGAGGCCCCAGTAGTGCAGACAGCACGGTCGGTCGATTTGCTTTTAATTGGCACCGAGAGACCGACACTGATTGACTGATTGATTATTATTCTCGTTGCTAACTGACACTGATTAAGTGACTGACTGATTATTATTCTCGTTGCTGACTGACTGATAGTACTGACTAATTATTATTTTCGTTGCTGACTGATACTGACACGGACTAAGTGACTGGTACTATACTAACCGACTACTATTGAGGATTGACGACGCGTTCTCTCGCGGGCCCCTATTTATACCTCAAAAAGGAGCGTCTTTTCCTTTGTCTAGGACAATTGTTAAGTTGCAATGTCAAGCGGTGATTTACGTTTTTTCTTAGGTCCTATCGTGGTTAATCTAGAGTGCTTTGAAGGGGGGGTAATTTACGATTTTCTCGAGTCTGCGGAAAAATTGATCCGAGTGGATCAAATTTTATTATGCCCCGAAAAATATAGCTGGGTAAACCATTATTCGTGACGTTTAATCAGTTTTCTTAGGCTGTGATCCAAAATTGATTGCCAGTGCTGCGTGTATGTCGTCATAAGTGCATGCTACCAATAGCGTTCCAATTTTAATAAGCATGCTTTTCATACAAACGCAGCTTTCATTTTGGAACGATATTTTGAGTGCTGTTAACGTATAGCGACTTTAGCGAAAAGAAACAAATAATCTAGAAGTATGGAGAGAACCATACAGAAAAAATTTTTATTTGAAACCATTATAAAATTAGCATTCGATTCTAGTGATGAAGAGTCTAGTGATTCGGATTCAGAATTAGCCGAAATTATATATAATTATTCGAAGTATGAATAAATAAATGTGACTACAAAAAGCTGACTACAAAAAAATTATAAATCTACTCACTACTTCTTGCTTTCTCAGCATCTTTTACCGAAATATTTATTTTAAATTTAGTATTACTCTCAGCATCAATTAAAATTAACTTCTCCATCTTTTCCACTATCTTTGTGCTGTAACTGTCTCACCTCTTCAGCCACAGCAGCCGCAGCAAGAAATCACGACAAAATTAGTGACGTCTTTACTCTCTCGCAGTACTGCCACAGCGTGCTACTATGATTTTTGGAACGGTGTTGACAATGCTACCAACGCTGGCAAACAATTTTGGAACACAGCCTTGGAATGTTCATATGTAAGGAATCTTAAGTATGGTCTCAGATAACGTTAATATGGGGGTTGCTTTGGATCGTTTTATGTCTTGGCGCGACGTGGCGCCGGCTTTATCTTTACTTGATATGGAATTGTTAGTCACTCTCGGGTGGCGGCTTGGGTATTTGTTATTTCCTTATATGGGCATATTTTGTAATCGTATCACTTCTAGCCCTGCGTTTTTTCCTAATATAGAATTGTTAGTTTGCCTCGGGTGGTAGCTAGGGATATGGATTTCGCAAACATATGGATTTCGCGAGCCTAGCGTTTCCAGCCTCGTATCAGCGTTATCGTTCTTTCGTTCTTGAGTGGCATTTATGGTATGAGTTTTCGTGGAAGCTTTTTAGGCCTTCTAATTCTTTCAGATTGTTAACAGGAGATTGCACTCGAATCTCATAAATGCCATCATCAGTCGCGGCGTGGAGCCGTCTTTCGAAAGAAAGGAATCGTGGTGTCTACGGACGTAACATATTATTATACATACTGGATATGTGTGTGTGTGTGTGTGTGTGTGTGTGTGTGTG